GGAAGAACAGCTGTAGTTGTCATGGTTGTTATAGCTGTATATTTGGTAAATTTATAAAAACAGAACCGCAAAAATATTGATATAGAAGTTACAAAAGATATCATTTAATTGCTCTCAGCAATCAATTTTCTCCTTTTCTTCAAATGCCATTCAGCTCGGATTAAAACTTATGATACCAGTTTAATCAGAATATTCAGTTTTGACTCAAATTTTTATTTAATTAACAATATATGTCGTTGGTAAGAGCCCAAACCAAAACCCAAATGCAAATGTTATTCTGTAAAGTGTCAGCGTAATCAGGAACATGACTAACACCTGACAAAATAAAAAAAAGAGAAACCTGATACAATTTCAAATTTCATGCCAGAATAAAAAAAAATTAAGGAAGATCAGTGTCTTTAAGCAGACTTCACTCAAGTGCTTTGTCTAAAATGGAACAGAAAACTAAAAAGGGCAAAATTACTTGCATCAATGAAGTATAGAGACTTCACAATAGAAAAACATCCTGGGATTGGAAGTCTTAGGTAAAAGGCAAAAGCTTTAGTAATAGTCATAGCACAAACTGCTAATTGAAAGTAACAAAACTCAAAGAAAAGAGAATACCTTGACTCCTTATCAAAACCAAAGCGTGCCCCAAAGTAAAAGGAAACAGCCAACAACCATGCATCACTATGAACTGCAACTAGCGACAACCAATCCTTTTCATCCATTCCATCCCGAGCAAAATTAATGCCTAATGCAGGTTCTGGAAGCTCAGGAGGAACTTCCTCAGCTGGCAAGTTCACTTCCCACGTCTCATTAGGCAGTCCATATAGACATAAGTTCTCCTTTTCTGCAAAAAAATCTCAATCTTTACATATTTCGCAATAGATTTTCATCCAAACTAATTTCCATGAGTCTGCAGGTTTACACCTTTGTCCTTGAAATAAAATTTTCTCATCTAGTGCATAATTTTAAAAGTAGGCAACAGCTAGAAGTCCAAGTCCATTATGGACCATAATGATCTCCATGTTTCTAAAAATAAAAATAAAAAGGAAATCTTTATTTATTTTTTCATGTCCAGTGATCATCGCTTTATCTCATTGGAAGATTGAAAATCGAGCGGTTGCACTATTGCAAAGATTGATGGTCATAAAGCTCAATGAGTTTAAACTTTAAAGTTGATAATTAAATATAATGGAAGCATAAACCTTCTAACATTTTAGAAATTAAGAAATTTTTCTAGCAGACAAAACAGTACAAATGAAGTTATGAACATGCTTCACTCTTTATTTTCATATAACAATCCGGTACATCATTTGAGCTACAACCAATGTTTAAAATGATCGATTCAATGCCTATGAGTAAAAAATAATAATTTTTTGATATTAAATTTTGAAGCATAATAGTTATCAAGAAAGATGGATATTTAGCCTAAAGACTTCTGGATTTATGTATTAAAGCTCCAGGTCATCAATACCATTTGTTAGATGTTGCAATTGCATGATACCTCTCATATGCATCCTTAGGGTAAATTTACCTAGTCCTGAAAAAATAAAAATGGAATATTTGTCATCCAATAAAAAAAATTTTAACTATTGATTAATTTGGTCAATTTACTATTAGCTTCTGAAGTGACTATTTTGTTATCATATTCTCAAAGCATCCATCTTCTCATGAACCTGATGCATTTCTCCTCCACAACTCCATTCCGGTCGTCATTTTCCTTTCGGTTTTCCTTTTGTCCCCCTCTTCACTTCCATGAATTTATTTTTTATTCTAGTCAGATCCACTTCCCATCCTTCATTGTTCCATTTAGGGCCTCTGTGCCTACTGCCAGACTCATACTGAGTGTACCTAACCTTAAAGTTGCACAATAATCTAGGTTGAAGAGCCGACCAAAGTTCCTTTTGGATCGAACCTATCTCTCATATATGTTTTCTGGACAATTTTATTTTTTATTTTGCTTTTTTCTCTTTTCCTTTCTTATTGTGGCACTTGATCCAGTCAACCATTGTTGAACATTTCCTTGGAAGAGCAGCCCATGATTAACAATGAACCTCACTGTGCAAAAAAGAGCATTACATGTTCCTTCAACACTATCTTCCATTCATATTACTGATGCATCATGAAACCGTATAAACAACATAAAAGAGTGCATCATATCATCTCTCAACCATTTCTCATAAGACGTAGATCGAAAAGCCAAAAGAATTCTCTTGCTTCATGAAAAGCAATATAGCATAATGGTCATATTACATCAGGCCTCATGAAAAGCCTGATGAGATTCTAGGGACTAGTATGCAATATTAAAGATTCAGAGGATTAAAACGCAAATCCAAAACAGATGGCAGTAACACAAAACTCAAGAAAAGTACATAAGCGATTTCCCAAATAGGCCCTTCATTTTTTTCATTTAACCCACTTAAGGCCTCATTTTTCTTCTATTCACACCTAAAAACCCTCCACCGTCAACAGGATAACTAAAATATAGATATTATACAATAATAAAACAAGGCGAGGCTTCAAGTGGAAAACCAAGAAAGAAGTGATTTTTTCCAGGAAAATGCCAAATAAGAATCAATTCCGAAAAACCATTAAGAAAACAAGAAGCAAATAAGAAAAAAAAAAGAGCAAAAGGCACTCAACATCTTAGCCACTAAAAATAGTCCGGTCTTGGGCTCTGACAAAGAAAAAAAGAAAAAAAAGAAGCTACCCTCTCTCTCTCTCTCTCTCTCACTCTCCTCCCTTTCCTCTTCAACGAAACCACGAGATAAATGAAGGGAGCGGGACCAGAACCGTCTTAACTCCATGATATATGCTGACGTCAAAGGACGGAACCAAGAACGAGAGACCTCACCAGGATCGCATTGCCGGTAGAACTTTTCGACATCTGCAAAAAAGAGCAATAAGTAGCAATATTACTCCGAGCAATCACTGAACAAAATCACCTGCGTAAAAGGAGGCAAATCTGAAGAGAGAAGACAGGAAAAAAAATCGATTTTGTTAGTACCAGTTGTGAGAGCCTTGACTATTCCGGCCCGCCGGCCTCGGAAATCCCTAAAGACCTCCTCCGGCGACCGCTGATTGCAGCCCCCCGCACCCCCTTCCATTTCCTACGCCAGATATGCCCGAATAACCTTCCTCTTGGACTATAACGACGACTCGGAAGCCGAATCTCGCCACCAAAGGGCTCCTCGAAGGCCAGAAAACACACACACACACACAGAGAAGAAGAAAAAAGAAGAAGAAGAAGAAGAAAAGTAGGATTTCTTCACCGACTAGGGCTACGGTTTCCTTCCAATAGCGGGAGAATCCGATCAAGAAGGGGGAGAGAGAGAAGAGAGGAGAGCAGAGGAAGAAGGAAAAGGTAGGCTACGGTTTTGAAGTGTTTCTTTTACCTTATTTTCTTTTTATTTTTCTTTTCTTTTTCCTTCACCAATCGACTAATAATTTGAAGGATTCTGCTCACCGCGGTGACCTGACACCTTTGAAGTCAAGGAGCAAAATAATGCTTGTCCTTTTTCACATACAACCCTACATAATATAATATTTGTACTTGTAAGGGACATTTCCAGAGAATTCTTGCTGTATATTTTGCACATATACCCTTTATAAGATTTATATTCACGTTCATATTCTTCAACAAATTTATTGGTGCAATAGGCCAAGGCATTTAGGGTTTTGCTTTTGCTTCCATTTAGAATGCAAACGTATCTAACGATCAAACGATTGACCATAAAGAAAGGAAAATTAAGAGTAATTCTCAAATAGAACTATTATGCATGTATCTTTCCTTAAAATAAGAATTTTTTTGTATATTTAAACCTACTAACGTCATGGAAAATTAAGACAAAATCTACAACTTGTACTAAGTGATCTATAAATTTTCCCTGCTTAGGTTTAGATAATTTTGACTGCGGAATCTACAATGGCCTAATCATATAATCATGAGGGTGCATTAGACAAAATTAAGACTATAGGGATTTTTTTTGCATGTTGATGACAATAATGGTAACATAGAATGCACAAGCATAATTCATATAGTTGATATAAAGATCCATGCAAATATCACTGTTATGAAGGATATGCATGAAAAAACTTCTAACAAATTACCTCTCTTTCCAATCATCATCACGTCAATAGAAGCAACAGAGAATTACTACCATGTTGAAGAACTGCATAAAGTTAAGCAAGTCAGCTATCAGCTGATTGGGCATCTAACATCTGTTACTACAGTGTTTCTCTCTTTTTTTTTTGCCTATTTGACAAAAGAAAAAGAGATATTGAGTCGAAAGTTAATACTTATTGCTAGTTGTTCTTTTCAGTGAATCTATGTCACGCAAGCGGCAGATATAACATCACTTCAACATATAAATTGTGAATGAAATTTCAATCTTCTTCAAATAATAATTTAGACCCCAAGATTAATGTTCTAAAAAATAATCATAACATTGTTAATCATTGTCATAACAGGTGTAGCACACCACTAAGGAACTGTGCTAGGAACAAAATGACAAGATAGTCCAAGACAAAACTCATATCCCCAGCACACTTGAGGTAGCATATCCATCATGAAAGCTTGTATACAGTATAATTGAAGGCATTTGGTTAGATTTTCTTACACTGGAATATTTTCATTGGCTGTATCAGCTATCTCTCAGCTGTTACTATCCCGACCCTGGTGTTTCAACATCTGTCTTTTCCGATGCTTTATCTATCCTAGCTCTTCATCCACACAGAGTTTAAACCAAATATATATGCAGAGTTACTTGAGCTTTTCCTAGCATGGCACATCCAGCATTATAACATTCGCCAAAGTGCAGCTTTGCAAAGAATAAATATTATAACAAACCGCAGATAAAATTCTTTAAACACTTCACAATAATTTTGTGGTAGGATTGATGTCCATAAACAAACTACTGTCAACAGGCTAACTCCAAGCTTTCACCAAATCCCTCATGAGTGCAAACATTTGGGGTTGAAAGAAACAGGACACTGTGGAACAGGAATCACTGAAATACAAAAAGGTGTCATCACTAGTAATTTTCAGATAATACAAAAAACCAAATCCATATAGGATTTTGCTTGTAGAAAAATCCGAATGGATACATCTGCAGCAAGTAATATTAAAGCAATATGATACTTAAGCAATCGAGCTAAAAGCGGCCATACAAGTTAATGATGCTTGACAAAACTGCCATTAATTAAATTAAGTCATCTCCTAAATATATGTTACATGAGCAGAACCTAGCCAATAGCACTGGACATGAATACCTTGGTATCACGTTTTGATACGATGGACAATCATCCTACAGCTTTTGGAAGTTGCTTCTAATGATGAGATTTGTGCATCACTGTTATGCCTGTAGCTGAACCAGAAGGATCACCAGTTGGTCAAATCTCAGGATGAGATCTACTGTTTCTTTAATGCCCTCAGTTGTCAAGCAACAACAATCGCTATGCACCTAATGACAACATACAAGTTGTAGAAATATCAATTGATATTCTCACATGCCTAATCGTAGTTGCCGAACCCTGAACAAAAGGACTACTAAGCTAGCATGCACAAGATTCATATCATGTAAAGTAGGTCTACAAATGAACCAAGGGTTCCACAATATTAAAATTCAGACCAAGCATCAAATATAATACAAAGAATACACTGGATGATATATGATAACTGTCTCCTGTACTCCAGTCGAAAGCCACTGCTTTGAACATTAAATACTGCAACAATTATAGATGGCCAGAAGACCCAAAGTCATCTGTCAGGACAAGGAGTTATCTTGCTCTCATTTTTCCCCTTTACCTTGTTGAAAGGCCACAAAACCCCTTTCATACTCTTGAATTCTCATGTGATGACCAACTCAAATAATCAGATGCAAAGTCAATGTACACAAGTCCTCTTCCACTTTGCATTAGGAGGCAAAGAGATATAGTTTCCATCAACAACCATTTGGTGGCTCCTGCTGATATAGTTACCAGGATCTGATGTGTCAAGTCTAAGCATTGGATTAAGCTCTAGAGGGCATGTATGCATATCACATATTAAAACCTACGAAAGAAGACCAATATGGATTCTATTTTGTGTTCTAAAAGAGTGATAATATCACACTACACAGATATGGATAAACTTTTACAATGAGTTTATATATAGAGAGAGAGGTGGTTTTAGATGAATGTTTTGAAAGTGAACTGTAAAAGTGCTAGTTATAGCATTAATATCCAAATCCCTTCAAATTCAGAAAATCTTCCTATCCAAAAATGAAAAAACAATATGTCCCTCTTTCCCACCCAGCTAACCTTGTTTCTTAGTTCCCTTCCTTTTTTGTCATTTTTTTCCTCTCTTCATCTTCAATTCACTTACCATAAAAAGCAAAATGCATATATGTGCCTTTGTTAGACACTATTCAGTTCCCAATTGAAAACCAGAACAGAAGATAATTGTATGAAATTAGAAACTGACTTAGATATAGTGGAATAACCATAACTAACTTGTCACTTGTTCTCAATAAAATCATCTGATTTTAGAAGAGGAAAAAGTTCCGCTACTCAGATGACTTCTAGATTCTTAGTGACATATTCATGAAGGAAATGCATTGGTACCAAAATAAGCTGTTTAATATGAAAAGATGCTGGTTCATTATTTGACAATTTTAGTCAGACAATTAGTTTTCAAGCACAGTTAAATGAAAACCCATATTCTTATAAAAACAAAGCCTAGTGATCCATCATCATGGAACCAGCCATTATTACACAGGCAGTTGTGGCAGAATGAGAGCAATTAACCAAAAGTTCAGTTTCAAACATGACAGTCTTTTAGGGTACAAGTTCTACAAAAATCAATCAACCATATTACGATTTAAGTTTATTGCACAGTACTGCACATTATTAAACAGTGAATGCCAAGCTCAAGTCAACTTGCACAAGTTCAAGCTAAGTTTACTAAATATCAGCATTTCATTGTTTCAGATGTACTAATCAACTAACCAGACCTAGAAGTACCAAACATAAATAAGATAACTGCCAAACAAGTAAAGGAAAAAAACAATGCAGGCAATGGAAATATCACAGTTGAAAGATATAAAACATGAAAATGTGGCTAACTCCACAACAGAACATACCATTGCACTTCTTCCAACTTAATGATGGTTTCCTTTTCTACAAATACTGGTGTGAGACTCGATTATTAGTAAAGGAATCACTGCAAAATATCACAGTTTACTCCAATGAAAAGCAAGATATACAGGTTACATCAAAAGAAAAGGTAAAAGTCAAAGGAGCAATAAATTACTGAGTTAATTAAAAGGTAATAAGGTAAGTGCACGTCAACACACATCAAACAGACAAACACATGAAAAACATGTCAGATGTTCCAAATCTAGAGCCTATTGTGAACTCTGGTCTGGCACTAAAATAACAGCCTGGCATCAAACTAGAAAATGAGCAAGACTGATAGGAAGTAGCAGCAGCAACACATTGTTAAGAAAGTTTTCTTTACTAGCATATGATGAGTAAGGAGGCAAATGCAATGACAACCAATCATAAAAGATTGTAAAAACAAGCTCGATAGCAGCATGACATCGTCTTCCATATCCATCCTCTTGTTATGCAATATCATGAATGGAATACTAAATTCCTGTTGACCCTTTCAAGAAATCCTTTAGATGAATTAAACCCACTAGAAAAATATATTGTATTTTAATGAAAAATCCAAATATACACTGTTCCAATATGAAAGCACATGAGTTTAAAAATATCACATCATGTCTTGCAGGAAGTTAGAAACAAGCGAACTATATCAAAGTATAGGGCATCTTAAACTATATATATATTTTTTATCTCAAACATTATCAGGTAAATTAGTCTGCAAACAGTTCTATGAGACAAGCTGTTAGCAACTAGCATCAACAGCCCAATATTTAGTTTAAGGCATCATTTTTCAGAAGGGCAAACACAAGGTTTCTAAACCCAATAACAAATATCATGATGCACAAATATTGGAAATTAATCACTAGAGTCTCAAACCGAAAAAAAAAGAGCCAATGATCAATATTTATTAATCAACACTATTGCCAATCGACCAATCAAGTGGTAGAATGTCATCCTCACAAATGTTCTGCGAAGAACAGAGTGCAATATCCTACACTGCAGTGCATGAGAAAAGAAAAAAACGAAGAATAGTGATCTCACATTTCAAGATTATGTCCAGTATCACTGTCTCAATATGCACTGCAGCAGTGAAGTTGTTCTTTAATCAGTTCGCCAACCACCAGAAATTTTATCCTCATCAACAATTATCATAGGGAAATTACTTCACCTTCCTGATATAGATTATCAAATGGAGGACAACAATGAATATAAGTTCAATGAATTTATAAGGCAACGAAGAAAGTTTACAGAAAATAAACACATGGTTACTATAAGACCTTTCACGTCATAGGTCCACTAATATGGGTTAACAAGTCTGCTGCATTACACTGCAGTCAAAAGCCCAATGGAACAAAATTACTTAAACACATCAAATTAATAAATCATGACCAATCCAAGATCCTTGTTAAATTAGATACATACAGAATATATCCAAGCTCAACAATGGACTGGTTCGGTAATCATACCATCAGTCCTTAACTCAGTTACTTGCTTTCAGCTAATTGAATCGTAACCTTCTCATTTATTTTGTTAAGACTAGTCTAATGCAATGAGCAACAATAAGCTCATTATGTTAAATAAATAACAACTTACCTGGTCTGTTGAAGAAGGAACCTTTCTTAGTAGCTAAGACTTCAGCAAAAGCCTTCTGCAAAGCGCCCTTTGCAACTTTATATATTACTGCTGAGGTAGCCCCTTCCTCTGCAAACTTAATGGCATCACGACAGAGATCATTGCACCTCCAAGCCAAAGCTTTTCGAGAATTACGTTGACATAAACCACGATCTTCACAAGATAAACCATTACTCTTGGCATTCTTCGTCCATCTTCTCAAGATATAATCATCTGGAAGTGTAAGAACATTAACTACTATCAGCACTCCTAACACATGCCTACAGAGGACGCCTGAGAACTCAAACATGAAACAGCTACAGGTTATGTGCTTGTTGGAAGCATTATATGTGACCATGTATGCTTTACTGTCATCCTCAATTTTAGTCACCCGATACATATATTCAACACCATCTGCAACTTTCTCCTTTAAAAATCCTGACGACCCTGCAAATTCCTCCTGAAATAAGTCGAATATGGATTTTGTGTAAACTTCTGATGCTTGTTTTTCCATCGGTGATGGAGTCCTTAAAACAGGCCTTGTATGATTTGCATCAAAGTCTGATTGTAGTTCCTTCTCATATTGCCCAGCCATAGCTTTATCAAACTGAGAAACTAGATCACGCAGAGTGGTCGTTGTGATGGAGTGTCTCTGGAAAAATTTGTGCATGGTCTCCAATTTTGGAGTCCCAAAAAATTCCCCAAAGAATGTTCCTCTAAAGAACAGAGGAATCCATTTCTGCTGAATTGCATAAAGGGCTTGCATCCACATATTGTCCTCCAAATTATATCTATCGATTAGTGACCTCCAACAGGAATCAAATTCTTCGACACTTTCACATTCATTCACACATTTCTTAAACTCAGCCTTAAATGAAGGATGTATCAAATAGACACCTGAAAGCTTATCCTTGCACTTGCCAAAAATGTCCCTCTTGCAGAACCTATGCCGAACATTCAGGAACACTTTGCTTGCAGCCACCGCCATGGACTCATTATAGGCAGTGATGAAAGACACCGGCCGACGTCCGCTCATCAATCCAAGCCATGTCTCAAATAGCCAAGTGAAAGAAGCCTCACTCTCATCCGTCATAAATGCACAACCGAACACAATAAGCTGCCTATGGTGGTTAAATCCAGTAAAAGTTGCAAAAGGCACCATGCGCTTGTTCTTCTTACAGGTCATGTCAAAAACAACTGCATCACCAAAATAGCTATATGCCATCCTTGCTCGGGCGTCAGCCCAGAACACATTCGAGACACAATTATTCCGGTCAACTTGTATTGCATAAAAGAAAGCAGGATTCTCTGCCTGCATCCGTTTGAAGTACTCCAGGAGGCTCTGTGCCACGCCACCACCAGGACCTAGCCCACTCTGCTGTGGCTCTGTGGCGGGGGAGACAAGAAGCTCCCAAGGCTTCTTGGCTAGCTTCTTCTGGACAGCAGGCGATTGCTTAGTGATGACGCCGAGGGGATGGCAATGGTCAAGCACACACCTTGAGATGGCCCACCGGCCGTTCTCACGACGGTTGACCTGGAGCATGGCGTTGCAGCCCTCGCGGGAGGAGGTGCGGTTGCGCCGCTTCTTGGTGAGGTCGAAGGGGTCCTTCTTCGTTGGCCGGCCCTGCTTTGAGCAGACGAAGCGCCTCATGATCACGGTGTCGTCGACCCGGGAGGTGAAGGATTTGCTGTTGCGAATCCGAAAGCCGACGCGCTCGGCGTAACCGGAGTAGAAGGCCCTGGCAGCGTCCGGGGAGTCGAACTCCATTCCCATGGCTGGCTCATGGAGATCGCCACAGGCCACCTCGGCCACGGCCTCCATTTCCACCGCGGCGGCGGCCACCAGCTCCCGCCCTTCTCCGGAGACCGGACAGTCTTCCGGCTGGTTAGCGAGGAGAACGGCGATGGAATCGTGGTGCAGGGGGTCGACGGCGATGGGCTGGTCGAGATCACATTCTCGGGGTTGGATTTGGATCAGGGGTTCGAGCTCACCTTCTTGAGAGTTATCGAACTCCATGGAAGGGTTGAGAGTTCCGATGCTCTCCATCAAGCTTCACAGCCACAAAAGCAATAATATCACCAAATCTCAGCCAAAGAAGACAGAGATTTGCGTAACAATAGAGGATTCCACTCGGATCCGTACGCGGCTGCGCTCGATCTTGAAGAATTTTTGGGGAGTTCAATCTCCTTCCATGTGGGATTGGGGGCGTCGAAGAAACCCTAATTTGCTCGCCGAGACGGCCGCTGCGATTACCTCCACCACGTGATCCGCCGTCTAGAGATAACTTATCCAGAGCCGGCGGACTGAGGGACCATCAGTGATCCGGAAACACAGCACCGTTCGATCCAAGCTTTCCATGATGAACGATTTAGATCCGCGACTAACGCGATCAAGGTCATCGCTGGCGATCACCGTTGAGATCGGACGGTGATGATGAGCCCTATTTTTTTGGCTTTTTTTTTTCTTTCCAAGGTGAGAAAAATCCTTGACAATTAAGAATAAGCCATAAATAAATTCTCCAAATCCCACAATCTATAATTATATCTATAATTATATTTCTATTCCTTGTTCAATAAAGTTGGTAAAAAACTTCATGCCATATCAAAAAAAAAAAAAAAAGAAGGAAATTTCCTGCTTCTATGAAAAACATCCTCAATGAAAATCTTAAAAGTATTTTAATAAGAAATATTGTTGTCTGTGTGATGAGTTCTAAAATTTTGACTTTTTTTTTGGAGTAATTATTAACTATTGATATCAGATAAACGTACAAAATAATAGTTGTTATACTGATACGCCTACCTATGAATTAACATACATTTAGGTATGAAATGTTCATCTAATCCTTTTAGATTGTATTACAGCATTTTCAGCAATATTAAAAAAAATATAACATAGTATAAAAATATTATTGCATGATATTTTTTATAAATTTTATAAAAATATTATATTTATAGGATTTGTATACTTATGGTATAATATTTTTAACAATACTAGTAAAACATTATAGTTTTTATTTTTAGTAATACTAGGAAAACATGGTATGGTGGTATAAAAATATTATCACATAGTGTTTTTTAAGTACATTATAGTGTTTCTCTGGTATTAACGCAATATAAAAGATGACTTGGTTCATGTATCGATCGATCCATAGAATAAATAATAAAAAATAAGTAGGTGGCTTGGGATATTTCAAGTATTAGTAAAAAAAGATGTGCTATTTGAGAATTTTGGAAATGGGTAAAAAAATCCAAAAAGAGTAATTTTTTTCAGAATATATATATATATATATATATATAATTTTTAAGTATATCTAAATTATCTCTTTACAAATAGACAAAAATATTATCTTAATTATCCACCTTTTCTTTTTTCTTTCTTCCTCCTCCTTTTCTTCGTCCTCTTTAAAGGACGATATCAAGAGGGCGACGATCAACATCGAAGGAGGTCAACGATTGATGTTGAAAGACATCAATAACAATGTTATTTGTAGCTAGTAAAGTCGACAACAACAGAAAGAGGAGTCTCAACAAAGTTTGGAGTGATGTGAATTACAAGAGGGGAGAGTATCAATGAAGAAGAGTAGGATGATGATCATCGAAGGAGGGAGCATCAATGAAAAAGGAACTGGGTTGGGTTGGAGGAGCATCAATAGTGAGAAGCACAACTTTGGGGGTGACAATTAGCAATAGGAAGTATGAGTTAAGGGGTAATAATTAGAGTTATTGAGTGTAGGCTAGGGGGTAGCGATCAACGACAATGAGTATGTGGCTAAAGGGTTATAGAAGATCGCAAGTTAGGAGATGACGATAAATGACAAGGAGTGTAGATTTTGGGGGAGAGGGGAGGAGGAGGGGAGCATGAGTTAAGGAGAGATAAGGAGCATGGGCTAGCGACGATATGAAGCATCGAGTAGAGGGTGATAAATGCCACTAAGGAGTATAAATTGAATGAGCGTCAATGACGATAGGGTATATAGGCAACGATCGTAGGGGTCGTAAGGAATGAAAAAAAAAAAGATAAGATCGACATTAATGAGATTATAAATAGTATAATATTATTTTATTAACTTTTAGAGATTATAAATAGTAAAAAGTTATCACAAGTTAAAAAAAATATTCTAAATAATAAACTTAGTATGATTATGGGTGATTTTTCAAAAATATACCATTGTATTTTTCAAATAATTAGCCTCATTTTGATTTTTTTAAATCATATCCCTAATTTGAAAACTATCCAAATTATCTCTCCTTCACCGTCGTTGTCATCGGTTGCCCCACTAGACCCATCATCACCTCCACCACTGGCCATGTGTCTTGCACCGTCTCCCCTTCCCTTTGCCTCACCGAAAGTCATCGTCCTTCGTACCTCCTCCTTCTTCGGGCCAGGGTTACGGACAATAGCTCTAGTTGGGTAAAGGGCGATGATAAAACAAAGAGCCGACGGTGACTCACGTGCTCCCCCTCCTTCCTTGCACGAGGGTTATACATGATAATTTTGGTCAAGCTAAGGACGATAATAGAGCAAGGGCTAACAACGACCCTTGTGCCTTCTCCTTCCCCACGTGAGACTATAAGTGATGATAATATTTGAAAATAGATTAAGGTAGAGGAATGATTTAAGTATGTTTTGAATTAAAAGGTATGATCGAAAAAAAAATAAAATCAAAATATGAAAAATACTCAAAACAAAGATATTTTATAGGGAAATCGCATCTCGCCGACCGACCGAACCCATCACAGGATCTGAAGAATCCATTGCAACCCCACGTGTCCATGTCAACATTTCTAAGTCAAAGGAATGCTCTCCGGCCGCCATCTACACCTCACGACCAATTGTCATTCCTCGCAAGATCCAACCACGTTCTGTCATGCATCAGCATGTCGAGAGCAAGCTTGACCGACCCGCTCCCACGTAGGTAAAAGTCGCTGCGTGCTCGCTGCGGTCTTCCAGACAGCCATGGCGTCTGATTCCGAGGCACTGCTCTGTCGCCCCATTCCCAAAACTTCCATTTTTATCTCTATTGATCGAATCCATCAGCTCAACGCCTCGGCCTCCCAATCTCCTCACCAGAATCCGATTCTAATTTTCCTTTTGGCTGGCTTCTTCAGGCGATGGCGCGGCCGGCGAATCTCACTCTGTACTCCTACTATTGGAGCTCATGTGCGCACCGAGTCCGCATCGCCCTTAATCTCAAAGGTTCATCCTTCTGCTACCATACGCTTGCCACAAATTCGTTCTTTTGACCTTTTTTTGGCTGTTTATATGTCTCACTATAGGGTTGGAGTACGAATATAAGGCTGTGAATCTTTCGAAAGGCGACCAATTCGATCCAGGTTAGAGAGTAATCCCCTTCTTCAGATTTCGCATCAGTTACTGTTCATCAAAATGCTTCCTTCTTTATATTTCCGCTTATTTTCTTCCTTTCTTGCATTGATTCCTCTTGTTAAATTCTAGAGTTCGAGAAGATTAATCCACTTAAATTTGTTCCGGCACTGGTAGATGGTGATGTAGTGGTTGCTGACTCGCTTGCAATAATACTGGTGAGCAAAAAGATTATTTCCTTTGACCTAATTGATCATGTTCAAAACTTATTCTGAGTTTAAATATACGCTGATCCCTTTCTTATAAGCTTAAGCTTTTGGAAATACGTATATCTTTACGTCTTGGATATATGCTTGTTTTTGATCCTCTGGTCGGTTAGTTGATGTCGTTTCCTTGATTTGTGCAGTATTTAGAAGACAAGTATCCTCAACACCCTTTGCTGCCTCAAGACCTGAAAAAGAAAGCAATCAACCTCCAGGTGAACATGCTTGGCAGATGTTATTCCTTGAATGTGCATTTTGGTTCTAATGATCATATGTTTGTGCTTCTGCTTACCATTCTATGTTGACATGACTTGTAACTTTGTTATTTTAAGATATAAACAGAAATATTTTTGAGGCGGCAATCTAATTCGGATAATGCAAACGAAGAATCATATTTTTGAGCAGTCATATTCTACACCTACAAAGACACTTAAAATTTCCTAAAGCGAATTATAGATTGGATATAATGTCTTCATGTGGTCAGCGTTTTGATCTCTTGCTATTATAACAAATGGTGATAATGGTATCTTGTATTTGTCTTAAGAAAATTATGCAATTGATGTTGAATACTAGATATAGATGATTTGTTTTTATCGTTTATATGAATTTAATACCAGTTATTATAACAGTGCATATTTGTTTGTGTTAGAGACACCTGGATTACCTCCTATCATTCTTCATACCTCATTCTAATCTATTTGTTCGGATCTCATCTGATATGCTATGTTTTAATTACACAACTTCAATAGTGTACTTTGTAATTTATTCCCAATTCACTGAGTTGTCAAATTTTAAGTGTTTTTCTCTTTCTTGTGAAGGCTAAGCTATGTTTTGAGTAGAGGCAAGACTCTCAGGCACAACTTAAATATTTTTCTGCCCTTTGATACATGTACTGCAAGAAATGTACTTTTAGTTGGGATATTCTTAGTTCATGTTCTAAGTTACTCTTGATTTGCAGATCCCAGTGTAATGTGCTACAATCTTTTGTTTATACAGGTTGCTAGTATTGTCAGTTCAAGTATTCAACCACTTCAGAGTTTTTTTACACGAGTAAGTAAAAAGCTGTATCTACTTGTTTATTACTTCATTTGTTATGATGAGATTAGTGCTATGCATCTTCACAAGTTTCAATTACAAAATTCTGCTTATGAATTTGCAGCAATTTTTCGAGAAAAGAATCAGTTTGGATGAGAAACTCACATCGTCACAGAATCATGTCAATAAAGGATTTGCAGGTTGCCTTTTTACTCTTTAATAAATACCTTTCATAACAGATTATAAGTGTTTGATTGGTAGCTTCCTAGAATGAGTGTGTTTTTCCTATAGACTCTTCATGCAAGCTAATGCTAGTTGCCAATAGCTATGGTGCATCATATCAATAAAGGATTTGCAGGTTGTCTTTTTACTCTAATAAATACCTTACGTAACAGAGTATAAGTGTGTTTTTTTTTAGACTCTTTGTGCAAACTAATGCTAGTTGTCAATAGCTATGGTGCTTTGCACAACCAACTAGCAAGTCAGCAACGAACTCCAGTGATTAATACTGATGCCTTTGAAAATGATCTGTATTAGCTACTATGTATAAATCATCACCAAATTAGTAGGTAATCTTCAGCAGGACTGCTAAAGCTGTCAGTAGTTTTTATTTAGCTATTAGTTTCCGCTATTTCTTGCTCATGGTAACAAATGGTGTGTTTTATTTAAACAATACTTCACCAAGAACAGAATTGGGCAAATGGACTAGTAGAAGGCAAATGGTTGCACATTAACTTTTATATAGTCCTTTCCATTTATGATCTAGTAAAGCTCGAGAAAATACAAGCAAAAAAAGATAGTTGATTCTTGAGTGATAAGCTTGTCTTGCAAAAGAGAAGAATTTGATCAGAAATAATAAAGAATAAATGAGAGAAATTGTTAACTATCACCCACTTATCATAACATCAAACAGATCATT